AGGAGGGTGCGCTAGGCTCCGTGCACGTACCACGATACAGGAGGGTGTGCTAGGCTCGTGCACATACCATCCTGTTTCGTTTCACAGACTTGGGATCCAAGGGTCTGGTACAGGGGTGGGAGGGATCCTGGAACCACTGCCCCAGGGATACTGAGGGTGGCTGTAATCTTTAGGCCATGAGGAGCTAACTACATCTATTCCCGGAATACAGTCTTCAGGTTTTCAGCTTCTCTTGGACCCTCAGCAGCAGGAAAATCTGTGGTTTTGTCTTCACTCTTCATGCCCATCAGATGAAATCAGGGAACTACGTCCTGTTCCGTTTCTTAGCCAGCCAGCCCTCTTATCACTTTATCTGGCACAGTTTCTTATTTTATTCTTCTTCAGGACATTGTTACCATCGGGATGCTGTCCTTGCCTTGTGGCTGGCTATGTACAGCTATAGGATTACCTACAATGTTTGGTTATATTATTTGTGGTGTACTTCTGGGACCTTCAGGACTAAATAGTATTAAGGTAAGAACAAAATTTAACTGTTCTGGTATATACTTAACAAAATACAAAAAAAAAAAATTCATAATGACTAAAAAGCGATGAATGTGAATCACTGAAGATGTCCTTTCAAGTTTCATGGGAAGTCTTCTCTGAACCCTACGGAAGCCGTTGTGCCGTTAATGAAGGGGTGGAGTACTGGAGACAACAGCCCTGCTCATTTCTTTCCATTCTGTTAGTTTTAAGGAGTCCTTTCTAGTAACATCCTCGGCCAGGTTATTCAGACTGCCCTTCACATACTGAATGCAACCAAAGTGCTGCATTAACCATATATTTTTTTTTTTGAGACAAAGTCTCGCACTGTTGCCCAGGCTGGAGTGCAATGCGCGATCTTGGCTCACTGCAACCTCCACCTCCTGGGTTCAAGTAGTTCTCGGCCTTAGCGTCCTGAGTAGCTAGGATTACAGGCGCCTGCCACCACACTGGCTAATATTTGTATTTTCAGCAGAGACAGGGTTTCACCCTGTTGGCCAGTCTGGTCTTGAACTCCTGACCTCATGATCCACCTGCCTCAGCCTCCTAAAGTACTGGGACTACAGGCGTGAGCCACCACGCCTGGCTGTATGTGTGTGTGTGTGTGTGTTTTTTTTTTTTTTTTTTTTTTTTTTTGATAATTCCACTGGGCATATTAGGACATGGTTGTTTAGTTAATTATACGTAATATGTTAAACTTGTAAAATTATATGGTCTATTTTTTGTGTGTTTTTCAGTCTATTGTGCAAGTGGAGACATTAGGAGAATTTGGGGTGTTTTTTACTCTTTTTCTTGTTGGCTTAGAATTTTCTCCAGAAAAGCTAAGAAAGGTAAGGACCTCATCAATCTGTTGCTTCTTCTAAGGAACTTCACATCATGTGGTTTTGGTTCATATACTCCTAATACTTGGTTGATGAATTAACTGTCAAATTAAATGTTTTTAGAATGAATATGATATTTCAGTTTGATATTTTTGGAGCAAATTCAAAAAGATAAAAAAATGAGGTTTGAAAGAATAGAAATTCAATGAAGAATTGGAATTAGCTTTCACATGGCTAATTTCAGGAAAGGTCTGAAAAGTAATGTGTTTGAACTTGAATAGATGGGTCCCTCGCAGAAGGTACAAAACTGTTATAGGGTCAGATGTCATAGAGGTTACATATTCAGTGTGTTACCCTAGAAAAAGCTTTGTAATTTGGAAGTGCGTTAATTAAAAGACACTGTTTTTCAACACACACCTCAAAAGAGAGGAGAGTAGGTGCTTAAAAGCTGGGGTGGGAAGAGATAGAATGAATGCTGTTGGTGGGAAAAAGAACCCCTGTGAATTAAGGTCAGATACCATTTTGCCAACAGTGCTAGCTAGAAAACTAATATCGACTTAGCAAAAGTTTTTGAGCGACTGTAATAGGCATTCTTGAACCAGATTCATGAGCATCACAACTGTATACCCTTTTTTTTTTTTTCATGAAAGACTTGGTCATTTTAAACAAAGTGACTTAATTTACAGTGTCTGGTTTGCCTAATCACTCAGCCCTCTCACATAGTATTCTTTCCTTCTTAAATTTTTACTTGTTTTATTTCAGTAGGTTTTTGGGGAACAGGTGGTGTTTGTTTATATGAATAAGTTCTTTAATGGTGATTTGTGAGGTTTTGGTGCACCTGTCACCCAAGCAGCAGCATTGTGTACAGTGTAAACTGTACACAATGTGTCATCTTTTAGCCCTCGCCACCCTCTACCCTTTTCTGCAAGTCCCCAAAGTCCAGTGTGTCATTCTTATGCCTTTGCATCCTCATAGCTTAGCTCCCACTTACGCGTGAGAACATACAATGTTTGGTTTTCCATTCCTGAGTTACTGCACTTAGAATAATGGTCTCCAATTCCATCCAGGTTGCTGCAAATACTGCTATTTTGTTCCTTTTTATGGCTGAGTAGTATTCCAATATGTGTGTGTCCATATATATATATATAGACACACACACACACACACCCACCCACCCACCCACCACATTTGCTTCATCCAATTGTTGATTGATGGGCATTTGGGCCGGTTTCATATTTTTGCAATTGCAAATTGTGCTGCTGTAAATATGCATATGCAAGTATCTTTGTCGTGTGACTTCTTTTCCCCTAGTAGTGGGACTGCTGGATCAAATGGTAGTTCTACTTTCAGTTCTTTAAGGAATCTCCGCACTGTTTTCCATAATGATTGTACTAGTTTACATTCCCATCAGCAGTGTAGAAGTGTTCCCTGTTCACCGCATCCATGCCAACATCTATTATTTTTATTTTTTGGTTATGGCCATTCTTGCAGGAGTAAAGTGGTATCCCATTGTGGTTTTGATTTGCATTTCCTTGATTATTAGTTATGTTGAGTATTTTTTCATATGTTTGTTGGCCATTTGGATGCCTTCTTTAGAGAACTGTCTATTCATGTCTCCTACTTTTTGATTGGGTTATTTGTTTTTTTTTTTCTTGCTGCTTTGTTTGAGTTCCTTGTAGATTCTGGATATTAGTCCTTTGTCTTATGTGTAGTTTGTGAAGATTCTCTACCCTTCTGTGGGTTGTCTGTTTACTCTGCTGATTATTTCTCTAAGACCTGAAATCATAGAAATTCTAGAAGATAACATCGAAAAAATTCTTCCAACCCACAACTTATGAACAAGAGTTTCAGAAACACCACACAGTTACCT